ATAAGAAGGCAACAGGAAGGCCGTGGACTTTTGAGTTTGGAGTGTCTACATCACAGAATGGTACTGGATACAGCCTGTAATGTCGTCAGGAGTACGGTTCCCCTTCTTTACATGATCCGTGACCATGAGAGAGCAGCTGCCCGAGCAGCTGATGAACTCGGTATAGTTTTCGACACTGAACGAGTCGACCACAACTCTGTCACCGAGTTGGAACCCGTTCAGCATAAAGCTCACAGAGCCACAGAGATCACCTTACTTCTGCGGAAACACAAGGATGAGCCGAAGCATGGGGGTCTTCTTTAACAACATTGGAAATCTCAACCTTCGCTTTCCTCAGGTCGAGTAGGCTGATGTCGGAAAGGGGTTCATCGTGATTTCTTCGATGTTGGAACCGACTCCACTTAAACTTTCCAAATGTCGATACTTTCCCACAATTTTTCTCAGAGATTTTCAATGATCACCTCCTAAATTCATTTTCTTCAAAGTACTAGTTTCATCAAGCTCCCCAAGTCGATTTTATAATGAAGAAAACTGTAGAGAAACAGGCATTTCGTGAGTTCAAATTTTCTCTATCAACAAGTAATCGATAAACTAAATGAGAAGCTAATCCCAATATCATATAGACTCAAGTTAGAATATCAGATGCATCTCACATAACATCGAAGCCAATTTTAATTAATTTTTAAAATATGCAGAGGCATGTTTTCATATATATCTACTTTGAAAATACGATTATCTTCTTATACCGCGGAAAACTTTCTTATCAACCATATCCGTTCGCCAAACTGCAGCACTTTCCGGATCATTACGCTCTACTGAGTGGAAAATTCATACGTTATCAATTTTTTGGGGAATCATAAGACAATCAAAACGTAAGAAGTGTGCAATTTAATTATAATGAAGCTAAAAAGTAAATATTTCGAAATGAATCTCGAAATATTTATGTCTCCCAACTACCTACACAGTAGCGAAGCTGGTGAATGTCTGCCGAAAATAACTACTTCCCAAGCTAATACTACGCTGGACAGACATTCATGCTAGATTAATTGACCCAATATCAGAAAAAAAAAAGTGTTTCTCGGAGGTTACACTGTAACCGTTCGACAATGTCATTTAAAGAATTTGAAAATATTCAAAATTGATAAAAACTCAATCGTCAAATTCATAATTCGGAAAAATATTGAAAGTTTTTCGTGAGTGATAGCATAGTATGCAGGGAAACCTTTGAGCACATAGTCCGTGTTTGGTAGCCTGGTTTTCGTGAGACTGCTACGGATAGTGTTTCCAGATCTGAAGCAGTTTCTGATGTTATACTTGGACCCAATCCTTCTTATCCTTTCCGACAATACTCTGATGTAACGAAGTACAATTACTGGTTGTGGCGGCTTCTCTTCCTTGCGGAGCTCTTGTTGTCTTCTAGCTAAAGCCTGTTCTACCATCACTCTGGAGTAACCATTCCGTTGAAGGTCATTTTTCATTATGCCTAGTTCCTTTTCGAGACCTTCCTTTGTATTACAGAGCCCGAAAGCACGATCTTGTAGAGTCTTGATTCCTCTCTTAGTCGATTGATAGTGGTTAGATTCCTCGTTCAGATACTGTCCAGTGTGATTAGGTTTTCGATATACAGATGTTTCCCATCTTTCCATTTAGTGTCGGTCCTCTTTTAATTTTTTTACAGATTATTTCAGTGATTTCAAATCAATTGATATCATATTAGACAATGGAAGTCCGAACTGATGAAATGCACCACGAAACATTGTCAACCACCTTCAAACAAAATTTTACTGGTAGTTAGAAGTTTTGCAGTGAAACCATCTTACACCGTCAAACCTGAAGGAAGTTCTAAAGAGCGATCATTCCCTGTTACCCTTATTATCATGCCACTGCGCCCTTTCTACAGAATCCTGTTAGCGAAAATTCCCATATTTTGTGCTGTACACTACTTGTTCTACACTTAAGACCGACCCCATTTGTAATTAAAATATTCTGCTTGGTCGCTTCTTTACAGATTCAAAACACGATGCTTTTCTGATGTCAGCTTTCAAGAGAAATGCATAAATATGAATTCATCACGTGTTTATTTTAGTTTAATTACATTTCATTTAATGCATTCATTTTATTATGCTGATGTTATTTACACCGAGATTCAGTGGCAATTTAATACACGAAAATGTGGGGCATTCCGGTGAAAAATGGTCGTTTTGAGTGACACTATTCTCTCGAGTATGTGGTTTTCGGGTTGCAAGTTGAAAGAGCTGGAATTTTCATTCGAAGGATCTTTGTATGAGGACTCTTAACGATTATCTATACGAGGTGACTTCATGTTATGCGTTTGCTATTCGTTTTCTGATACACGTCAATGTTTGTATATAGAATAATGCTATTTGTCATAAAAACCTCAATTCCAATCAATTTCCTCGAAATTAAAGTTACTTTTCGATATTCCTGAAGATGAATGGTAATTAATATTAGGAGAATGGAGGAGGAGGAGAGTGGACAATGGAGAAGGAAGTCCACAACGAATTGCTATTCTTAGACGTAATGATGAAGAGGATCGACACTGAATGGGAAACATCTGTATACCGAAAACCCACTCACACGGGGCAGTATCTGAACCAGGAATCCAACCACCATCAATCGACTAAAAGAGGAATCATCAAGACTCTATTAGACCGTACTTTCGGGCTCTGTATTACAAAGAAAGGTCTCGAAAAGGAAATAGGCATCATCAAAAATGACCTTCAACAAAATGATTACTCCAAAGTGATGGTGGAACATAGTTTAGCTAGAAGACAGCGAGAGCGTCACAAGAAAGAGAAGCCGCCACAACCAGTACCTGTACTTTCCTACATCAGAGGATTGTCGCAAGGGATATGAAGAATTGGGTCCAAGTATAACATCAAAACCGGCTTCAGATCTGGGAACACTATCCGTAGCAGCCTCACGAAAACCAGGCCACCAAACGCGGACTGCGATTCCAAGAATTGCATTTACTGGATACCCTGCGAGTGCGGAGAATCATACATCGGTGAAACACACAAGAAGAAACCAGCAAATCAGGAATAGCAGAGGGTGTTTGGACTCATCAACATAATATCAAGTGGGCTCAAGCTGAAATAATCCACAAGGAGGAACACTGGTTAAGGATAAAATTCGAAGAAGCCGCATAAATGTTGTCCAACAACGCATTTAGCCAAGCTAGTGTAGAGATACGTAACATATGGAAACCTCTAATCAATCGGAACACGACCAACTCCCTCCAAACGGTAATCTCTCGCTAAAACCAATGAAGCGTTGAGAGGGGAGAGAGAATAGGTGAAATCACTCGAATCACCTATAAATAGTCAGATCTCGGAGAAATGAGTCCAGTTATCACCCGATCGGTTAGCGAGAGGTCTGGGGAATATAGTGGTTGAGACAGAATTTCGACGTTCAATTCGTGAAGCAGGATCGGAGCGCTTTTGTTGACCAGTGCCGGCTGCTGTTGACACAATTTCCGGTAAATTTCGTCGATTTCCTCACAACAGGCTTCTGCTGTGATGATTTAGCCCGTTTGCAGAAAGTGAATAACACCAGCCGCTGACCACCATACAATATCCATGGTCTTTTTTTGGTGAGTTTTCGCCTTTAAGAAGTGCCTAGGTGGCTCATCGGTGTCATAAAGAATCCACTTTTCATCACAGATCCATAGACAATTTTACAGTATAGCAGACGGACCAGCAGCAAAACCGGCAGTCGATAAAAACAAGATAAAGCAAAGTGAACGAGTGAAATGACAGCAGTAGTCAAGGGAGGTATTATTCAAGTCCGTACTGATGTTTTTAAGTGAAGCACTTATCACAAAATCATTTTTGAAATTCCATAGGGAATACACATGGACAGAGTTGTTCAGTAGTACAGTTCATATAATACTGCAATTTTTTTTGTTTGTTTGGTTACCACCTAGGCAAAAATTCGGAATTTCACACTAACCAAACATTTTCGTAGGTATTAAACCTAAATTGATATATCTATTCATAGTCTGAGTCTCCAAATAAAAATAAGAACTCCGACAGTAATCCCCAAAATGCATTTATAATCATTATTTCAGGCGAAAATCAAAACCGGAATCTTGTTATTTATCAATATATTCAATGCCGGGAATGATAAAAGTCTTGATATGGTCTTATTCACTTGTTTACCAGGTACGGTGAGTGTAACCAAATACACAAATATAGTATATAGTGATATCTGAGACCATCTGAAAATAAATCCATAGACCATTAACTTTGGATTTGAATACATTTCAAACGGTATCAAGGGGGCAACACCTTTTGGTCAACATTTTAAACTTTATCAGAGACAAAAATGTTGGTGATGTCAATGCAAGATGGGTTGTATTTATAATATATATTTTACTTTGGTCAAATCACTGGAAGAAAAAGAATATAGTTTTTTCATGAGGTTTAAGACCTACTTCACGGAAAAGTTAACGAAATGTAGATTTTACTAACAAAAACTAGAATATCAGTCGGAGTCCAGGTTCAAGTGCATGTCTCACACAATCAGCACACAACCACATTTTTGTGACATTTTCACAACGTTTAGCAACACGTCTGGCACGTTTGTTGAATGTTTCGAAATGATCAGCATAAGAGTGTCCAAATGCTTCTGATCGGCAAGCAAAGATCAACCAAAATAGATGAGAAAACTATATAAGATCATCGATACTGCAATAAATATATATGCATGGGACAGTGACAATTGCATCCAAATGTCATGTCACTTAATTTGTGATTAGTTAAATTTTAAAATACTCTCGACAAGAGATAAAGTTATCTAATCCTCATTGAAAAATGCAGTATTGACAATTTTCAAAAAGTAATAGCTGCGATAATGATTTGTCCCGCTAATTATTCGTGTCCATTTTCAAAATGAATAATTTACTGAAATCGTTCCGTGGTTCTGCAAATTGCATCGTTAGCAACACTGCTCTCTTCGATCCAAAGGCAACAAGAAAAATCCCTAGCGGTCGCCAAATGTAATCGATTGTTCATGTTAACCTAAAAAGTGTTGTTTTGTTTCCATTGTCATTGTCAAGATTATGAGATGCCCATTTCACAAAAACATTTTGGCTTTAAGTTTTAATTGACAAAGAAACAATGCATTTTACATAGCAAAAAAACTTTTAATAAGCGAGAAATTGCCGAAAACCTCCAATATGGCTACTAATAATGTTGGAATTGACTGGATGGGAAGTTTAGGTGTTGGGGTAGAAGATTTTGATACCCCTTCAACGACTAATCCTGAGCAGGGAACTTCAACAGGAATGAACCAATACGAACAAATGGATAGAGCAAACACTAGTGCTACACTAAAGGTCTTCTTGATTATGAAGTTATTGTTTCTTTCAATAACAATTAATTTTTCAGAGAAACCCTAAAATGGAACTATCAAAAAACGATTTACTTAAATTTGTTACTTACTTTGAAGGGGAAATTCAAGCTAGAGATATTGCTATCGCAGCACTCAAGGCAAGTACCAATATTTTTTATAGTTGTCAAATATATATCTCTGGGATAACCAAGTTATTTCCTATATTTCAAAGGAGTAGTATATAATACGTATCACATAACTCTTCATGATGAATTTGAGACCAAATAAAAGTCATATCTGAAATAGAAATTAATGATAACTATCATAAATTTTGTAAATTCTATTTCTTTATCAAAGTAGAAACTGTTTCATCAGTTGGAATCAACACTCCGTTGGCAGTCATGTAAAACCTAAACGTGTTTCCTCTCCACATATGTATTTCTGGAGCGCTAAGCTAAATAGACATATTGCCAGTTGCATGAAACAGCAAAGCTTAGCAAACTAGTTTATACTGCAAGTTGCAGCATTCTGGGAATGATTGACTTAATGCCTTCAACAGTCAACTGCAACCTGCCTACATAGTCCCAATCATGTACGGAGAGGACTGCATCTTTTGGAATGAAACACTTTTTGGTTCTGATGCAGGTGTATACAGTGGTACACCCAGGACAGAGATATCAACTAGGAACCTATGCGACTGTATTTCAGTCAGAAATCTACTCCATGGATTTATGAGTAGAGAGATTGGATGAAACTAACCTCACACTCAAATCAATCAAGAAATGGTATTGCAAGCAGTTTTCTACCTAGGGTTTCTTTTGTCAAACTGCTACCTGGACGGCAAAAAGAAATACACACTTCCGGCAAAATTCACCAAGATTGACCCATTCCAAGGCATTCATACATCTTTGAAGAATATTAACTTACTAGTTTTTGTGTTGTTACTGCAATACAATTCAAAACTATGCCAACTACCAATATGGATGTTATATGGCCAAAACACTATATTATTTTATTGATGTGATTGAAATTTGAAGTTTCACAATTACAGTACATGTTTTCTCAATATAATATGAATATTACTGAAGGTTTTTTCCCAACACCAAACCGTTATTTTAACACCCCGATACGTGTTTCAATCACTTGGTAATCGAAATACGCGTCGAGGTGTTAAAATAACGGTTTTGTGTTGGGAAAAACTCCAGTAATATTCATTACTACTCCAAAGGTTCCAAACAGTGCGTCAATATTATATGCCAAACATGAAACGCCCTTTTCACGGGAATAGGATCAATTTATAGACTAGAGGGGGGATTAGCTACGTTGTCTAACAAGCATACTTACAAGTCACTGAAATCTAAATCATCCTACAAACAAACTTGAACTGTTGGAAGATCTGACCTGCCGTCTTTATTTGGAAGTTTATGAAACAACATACTTTGCAGAGCTATAATTTTGTCATCAGCCCTGAAAGGTCACCCGTCAAAAAACAATTGGTTTAAATTGATGTGCGCCACAGTAAACCCCTGCAGTGGAGAGTGGATTAGACCAAATAACTTTGAACCTAATGTAACCTAACCATACCCAATATTTGAATAAACTTGTGTAGTTTATTTGAAGTAAATTCAAATGGCATAAAAACTAGATAATTACTGAACGTAGGGAGTTTCTTTGTATGACATGGGCAGCGAATTATAATTTACGAGGCCTTATCATTATTTTTATGTGGGAGCTTTTATATGGCATCAACTAGTAAATTTATCAGACCCGGTTCATTAGTCTTTTATTTATCTGTTCGGATTGATTTTGTATAAGGCTATAATTGAATGTTCAGTCTAATCGTATCATTTTTTTGTGTCTTCTCTCACAAAATTACATGATTCTAGTATATTCATAAATGAACACTATTCAATGTTTCGAACCATAAAATTTGTTATGAAATCTTTGATATATTCCATAATTGTGATACATGATTCAATTTTGTTCGTAATTTTTCGAATTGTCTGTTCTCTCCACAGTCTGAGAAGTTGAAGCAAGTAGTCAATGTAGGAAGATATAGGCCTGTAGTCATGACAGATCCGTACACAGCATTACTTCGAGACAGTATAGCAGATGGACCAGCAGCAAAACCTGCTGTCAGTGAAAAAGACATGGCGCAGGCAGCAGAACAACAATTACAAGCTCTTGAACAATTAGTATTACAGCAACGATGGGCTCATCAACATATGATCAATATATTGAAGGAAGCCGAAAACAAACACAAGAAAGTAAGTGGACATCGTACAGACTAGTGTGAATGTGTAGTGTGAAAACTGCATAATTATTATCTTGGATATTGATTTTATTTTTGATCAAGGGACGGATCACTGTATTCATATTTCATCATTTGAAGTTGCCATTTTTATTAAAGGTCATTCAAGAATTAGAGGAAGAAAAATGTAAACATGAACATGACACAGCCCAAGGAGATGACATTACTTATGGTTTGGAAATGGAAAGGACAAGATTGAGGCAAGAACTGGAAATGGAAAGAAATGCAAGAAAGAAATTGGAGAAGGAGGTTAAGAGGCAAGTTGAGATGGCAGATGAGGAAAGGGCCAGGCAAAAACAAATCGTTCTGCTTTTACTGGCTGAGCGGAAGAAAATCATTGTGAAATACATCGAAGAAAGGAAAAGGAGCGAAGATCTAGCGCAGGTATGAAAACACTTTTCGATATACAGGGATTCCTAATAGTTTCCAATTGTTGTCATCAGATTTTGTCGGAGGAAAAATCGCGAATTGATACTATGGCAGAGGGTTTAGAGGAAGAAAGCAAAAAATCACTTCAAATGGAAGCTGAATTGGAAAAGCAACTTCATGTCTATGAAAATGATAAGAAGTCCCTGAAAGCCCAGATGTCTGCTAAAGAACTCAGGTGAGTATTCAAAAAATAGATGGATCAAATTATATAAAAAATAATCTCATTATGTCAGTCAGTAAACTTGCAAAGGAACCTCCAAATACTCTTCTTGACTTTTACGAGCAACTTATTTTCAACCAAGTCAGTGTGAATGACTAACATGATAGACAACTGGATAAAATAGGATATCCCTCGAAGTGATGAAAATCTGCATCCCTTACCGAGCCCCAATTCCCAACCCTTTGATTGCATACTGCTAACATTGACATTTTTTCTTATTTAAAAAAATATATAAACTCAATAAATTGATGGATGTAGCTGTTATACCCCTTCAACGACTAATCCTGAGCAGGGAACTTCAACAGGAATGAACCAATACGAACAAATGGATAGAGCAAACACTAGTGCTACACTAAAGGTCTTCTTGATTATGAAGTTATTGTTTCTTTCAATAACAATTAATTTTTCAGAGAAACCCTAAAATGGAACTATCAAAAAACGATTTACTTAAATTTGTTACTTACTTTGAAGGGGAAATTCAAGCTAGAGATATTGCTATCGCAGCACTCAAGGCAAGTACCAATATTTTTTATAGTTGTCAAATATATATCTCTGGGATAACCAAGTTATTTCCTATATTTCAAAGGAGTAGTATATAATACGTATCACATAACTCTTCATGATGAATTTGAGACCAAATAAAAGTCATATCTGAAATAGAAATTAATGATAACTATCATAAATTTTGTAAATTCTATTTCTTTATCAAAGTAGAAACTGTTTCATCAGTTGGAATCAACACTCCGTTGGCAGTCATGTAAAACCTAAACGTGTTTCCTCTCCACATATGTATTTCTGGAGCGCTAAGCTAAATAGACATATTGCCAGTTGCATGAAACAGCAAAGCTTAGCAAACTAGTTTATACTGCAAGTTGCAGCATTCTGGGAATGATTGACTTAATGCCTTCAACAGTCAACTGCAACCTGCCTACATAGTCCCAATCATGTACGGAGAGGACTGCATCTTTTGGAATGAAACACTTTTTGGTTCTGATGCAGGTGTATACAGTGGTACACCCAGGACAGAGATATCAACTAGGAACCTATGCGACTGTATTTCAGTCAGAAATCTACTCCATGGATTTATGAGTAGAGAGATTGGATGAAACTAACCTCACACTCAAATCAATCAAGAAATGGTATTGCAAGCAGTTTTCTACCTAGGGTTTCTTTTGTCAAACTGCTACCTGGACGGCAAAAAGAAATACACACTTCCGGCAAAATTCACCAAGATTGACCCATTCCAAGGCATTCATACATCTTTGAAGAATATTAACTTACTAGTTTTTGTGTTGTTACTGCAATACAATTCAAAACTATGCCAACTACCAATATGGATGTTATATGGCCAAAACACTATATTATTTTATTGATGTGATTGAAATTTGAAGTTTCACAATTACAGTACATGTTTTCTCAATATAATATGAATATTACTGAAGGTTTTTTCCCAACACCAAACCGTTATTTTAACACCCCGATACGTGTTTCAATCACTTGGTAATCGAAATACGCGTCGAGGTGTTAAAATAACGGTTTTGTGTTGGGAAAAACTCCAGTAATATTCATTACTACTCCAAAGGTTCCAAACAGTGCGTCAATATTATATGCCAAACATGAAACGCCCTTTTCACGGGAATAGGATCAATTTATAGACTAGAGGGGGGATTAGCTACGTTGTCTAACAAGCATACTTACAAGTCACTGAAATCTAAATCATCCTACAAACAAACTTGAACTGTTGGAAGATCTGACCTGCCGTCTTTATTTGGAAGTTTATGAAACAACATACTTTGCAGAGCTATAATTTTGTCATCAGCCCTGAAAGGTCACCCGTCAAAAAACAATTGGTTTAAATTGATGTGCGCCACAGTAAACCCCTGCAGTGGAGAGTGGATTAGACCAAATAACTTTGAACCTAATGTAACCTAACCATACCCAATATTTGAATAAACTTGTGTAGTTTATTTGAAGTAAATTCAAATGGCATAAAAACTAGATAATTACTGAACGTAGGGAGTTTCTTTGTATGACATGGGCAGCGAATTATAATTTACGAGGCCTTATCATTATTTTTATGTGGGAGCTTTTATATGGCATCAACTAGTAAATTTATCAGACCCGGTTCATTAGTCTTTTATTTATCTGTTCGGATTGATTTTGTATAAGGCTATAATTGAATGTTCAGTCTAATCGTAT